GGATAAATACTTTTGGTTTTCCCCTGTCTGGCCTTATGTAGGTGTATCCTCTAATAGAGAAGTGAAGATTGGTGTTGAGGTGTGTTTCCTAATTCTTTAAAATACGTTTAGAGCTTCCTTTTTCTTGTGAACATCCACGGCAGTTTATTTCAGGATAACAAGGGTTTTGATGTTTTTATCACTATATTGGCCATTAGATTTAACCTTCTGTTCCTTGCCCCTGGCTTCACAGACAAGAATAGAGGAACCACCAGCTCGCTTGTGTGGGCTCCTTCAAGACGGAGAGCCCAGGCCTCTACCAGTGAGAAAAATTATTTAATTAATTCGCCTACGTAAATTTTCATTGATACATTTACATAAACCAAGACGGATAACCTATAACTTTGATCCCAAAAAAAGCTACATATACAAAGAAATTCAGAAATAATTTTGAAAAATAGAAAACATTGTTTACAGTGTAAATTAAAACAAGAATATTTCTAAATGTCTTAGAAAAAGTAGTGCATATTCTTTGTTTTGTAATTTTAAATTATTATCAGGCTCAAGTTTTAATTGCAAACCGCTAGCTGAATTTAAAAATGTCTTGTAGACATGATGAGAAAGTTCAGTTAAAACAATTGTCCTTATCCACTGACTTGACACAACACTCAATGTTGCCCTGTTGTCATCATAAATGAATGAAAGTAGGCTACAAGTAAGAAAGAAATATTACTATTGTATATCAGTATCAGTCCTCACAAGCCGGTGATGAAAACTGTAATACTAAAGCGAACACACACAACTGACACTGTAAATTATATGTCAAAAAAAAAAAGAAAAAAAAAGAAAAATAAATGTTGCCCTGTTGTTTTAATTTATTTAAAAAGAAAATAATTGAAAATAATACATACACTACGTCCTAGGCAGTGGCGTCGTCAGGACGGGTGTACCCCTCCGAGCAATATATATATATATGTATATATACCCCCCCCACCCATCACCTAATACATTACTATCAATACGGTACTTTAAATATGATAGTATACATATGTTGTCATAAATACAGTATTATAAATATATATAACGTGAAATGAAAACTAAAACATTGTTCAGAGAAAAGAACAGTGTAGCCTACTTTGAAATTTTGTAAAATAAAGGCCGATGGCTAAGACGTTTTGAAAGTTTAATGCATCTAGTTCAGAACCTATCAATTGATTTATTAATTCATCAGAATTAATAAATAATTCTTTAATTTAAAATATTCAAGAAAGACAACTCATCACTACAATCCAAAATATCGTTAAGTAAGTTAATACATTCATAAATAATTTAAAAAATGGCAAACTAGTGTTTGTTTTTTTGTTTTGTTAAAAATATTAAAATTTATTTATACAACGATGTCAGTGTTAATTTTTTTTTTAATTTAAACTTTTATTTGGACAATAACTTTAAATTAAAACCGCTAGCTGATTTTAAAAATTGATTTTTATAAATATAAAGGTTCCTTTTTTTCAATGTTACCGAATCATAATGATTTTGATTCATCATTTTAAGTTTACTATGTCTGAAAAATACATCAAACGGCTATTCCTGCCTAAGATTGGCATGGCAGGACATGCGCCAAAAACTCTTGAGATTTTCATAGAAGAGGGTTTTTCTTTAGCTACTCTCACAGCTGACGAACTAAAAAGAGAGCTATGTATGTTATGTAACCTATCACCAGCTGAATTTGTAGGGCTGTATAACTATGGGACACTGCGTAAATGGTATGTCACCATTAGATCAAAGGAACTATATGAGAAAATGCACCTAAAAGAATTTCACAGAGATTTGCCACCTGGGGTAACATCCAGATACAGAGTGCAAAGAATATCAATAACCCACGCCGACAAATCTGGGCAAAGGGGCATGCTGAAATGGCTGCCTTCCAAGACAAGCGACGATGATATAATGGCGATTCTGAAATCTATAAGCAGTCAGGACTCAACACCAACATTTAAGAGAATAGACCAGGGGTCGGCAACCTTTTGAAGCGGAAGAGCCAAAAGTTACAATTTTCAAAATTTCCCTGGTTTTAAAGAGCCACTAACATTTTTTTTTATTAAGAGTATTAGTATTTGTTAAAGGATCTGGAGAGCCGCATCTTGGTATCAAAAGAACCGCATGCGGCTCGCGAGCCGCAAGTTGCCGACCCCTGGAATAGACCAATCGAATGTGGTTCAATTCACCATCTCTCTGGAGAAAGAAGTTGTGGAGAGTGTCCCACATTATATTATTCTTACAAATGAGGCCAACAAGGAGAGCAGAGTCCTTATAATCCTCAATGGGAGGAGGGTGCAATGTTGCCACTACAACACAGACAGGCACCTGCCTAAGATGTGTGAGCATTTGAGGACTCGCGCTCTTGACGGCGTCCAGCTAGTAGACGGACAGTACAGGGCAATTGAGCCTTGGGATGCACATGATAAAGAAGAAGTTAGGGAGCATCTAAGTAACAATAGAAATTTCTTAAAGCATTGGGACAGTTATGATTTTGACGGAGAAAGACAAAATGTAATGCTTAGAGAAGCAAGGCATAGAGAGGTAGAAGATGCCTTTGGAGTAGATGGCCAAACTGAAGCACATCATACTACTGCAGCATCACAGCAAGCTAACGAAAGCGTAACAGAAACCACCATAGAGGCCGAAGCCATGGAGACAATAGCGACCAGAAATTCCATAGTAACAGGGTCTCAAAAAGATGGGGATCAAGAAAATTTGGAGGCAGTCGACGAAACAATAAATGATATTCTTCAAGATAACACTAGTTCAGAAAACATAACAACCCGCTAAAGGAAATTAAAAGCTCACAAAGTATATTAGCAACAAAGGTATCAGATCAACTGTCATATAGTCAAGCAATCAGTTCAAGTAAAAATCAATTACCTACAGTAAAGCCACCTCAAAGGGTCGTGACCAGGGCCCAACGGGATAGCAAACCAGCGGCTGGAAAGTTTGGCGTTAAAAGACCACCACGGCCCAAATAATTCATGCTAACTCTGGCAACATTGAACATCAGGAGGGCTAGGGACAAAACACATTAAATAAATAACATAATAAATAAACACAATATTGACATCTTACTTATACAGGAAACTAACATTGGAACTACAGGAGAAGCAAATAAACTAGATGCATATATCGACAGTCTCAAGTCAAACATCACTCGATCAGTCCTCAAGTAAATTAACATTAGAAACAGTCTTCTGTTTCCCAGGTTTTTAAAAGTGCACAACCTGAATGGTAGAAAGAGATACACACCTCACCCCCCCCCCCCCCCCCCCACACACACACACTTACCCCCCACCCCACTCAACCGGGCTGGCGGATATGTCAAGGTAGCGTGCCCTCATTGCCAAGGGTCAATTTAATGTCATGGAAATTTTTGGAATGATAGATCAGTATGTGTATTTCAGAGACACTTCTCCCACGGTCGTTTCTATTTCTGTCCATAGGTGGCTACAATGTGAACTTTTGACTCCTCAGCTAAGGACGGAGCACAGTAAACTAAGCAGTCAAGAGAAACCTAGTTTGCACACCTTATTTTAATCTAGTTCTTATGCCATTTTATTTTCTCCATTTGATTATTATATATGCAATTGATGTTCATGTCTTTGATGCTGTGTAAAATCTATCAAATAAATTATTATTACTGATTTAAATTTTTAAATCAATTGAGTTAGTAAAAAAAAGGAAAAACATACATTATTTATCGTATATACGAAGTAAAGAGAAAGTCTTGTAATCGTGCCAAAAAAAATTGAGATTTTCACAGATATCGACGTTTAACACCTACCTGAGTCGGAGAAACATAATTTTGCAAATTTGTCCGTACGTCCGAGTGTGTGTGTCTGTAAACACGATAACTTGAGTACCGTTACATCTAGGTTGATGAAATTTATAATTAATATTTACTGTTTGTAGAAAAGCACACCGCAAATCAGGGGAGGGTAAAGCTTGAGCAAGGTTTTGGTTTTTGCCTTGTCATTCCCCCCCCCCCCCCCCCCCATCACCAAACCGACACTGGTATTGGCATGTTTATACCTTTAAAAATGTTTCCTAATACAGTACTATAAATACAGTAATTTAAATATGACGCAATATATAATAAAATAAAGTGTCGTAAATAAAGTATTATAGACAATTTAGCCCTTATATTCATAAATATATTTGTATATGGAAAATGTAGCCTTTTATCTTGCTCATTTAAATTTCATGTGAATTAGTTAAATTAAATCCGAACCAAGAACTTTTTTTGAATTAATTCGCTTACGCTGATTTCCACTTATAAATTTAAATTAACCAAGAAGAATAACCTACGAGTTCGCTCCCAAAAATGGCTAAATGTTCAATGAAATCCATAAATAATTTTGAAAAATACAAAACATTGTTGACAGTGTAACTCAAAACTAGAATATATTTTATAATGTTATAAAAAGGATCGCTTAGCCTTTGTTTTGTAATTTTAAATTATTATCAGGCTCAAGTTTTAATTGCAAACAGCTAGCTGAGTTAAAGAATTGACTTCTTTATATGATAAGAAAGTTCAGTTTAATTAATGGTCAGCGTCGATACTCGCATAACACAACACACCGTGTCGCTCTGTTGTTTTAACTTATTTATAAAAGAATGTAATTGAAAATAGTACATACAAAAGTTACAATTTACAAAATTTCCCAGAGTAAAAATCTCGATTTTAATTTTTTGCACGATTACAAGACTTTTTCTATACTTCGTATAATTCACGTGTAACTGATGCTGATGACTATATATTTATTGTTCGGAGGGGGGGGGGATACACCAAACCTGGCGACGCCACTGCCTAGGACCTAGAGTATGTACTATTTTCAATTATCTTCTTTTTAAATGAATTAAAACAAAAGGACTACATTTTTTTTATTATATACATGAAATATTAAAATAGTTCAATACATGGTATTGCATTCAATTATACATAAGCGTTTACAAAACGTCCAAGATACCTATTTTTTCTTATGGTGTACACTTGTATGTGCCCTCATGCTCTCTAGTGGGAGGGATAAGTTACAATCTCTACAGTCATACATCGTTTCTTCTTGATGGTTTTCTGCAAAGTGTGTGCGTATGTCTGGGTAGTACCCTTTGTCTGCACAAAGATCACACTGTAAGTATCTGCAGTGGATACTTCGTTCGTGTTTTTCCCTTCCCCAAGGTGATTTACATTGTTCTAAGCAGAACCTGCAGTGATTGAAGTCATGAATTAATTTTTCACTTTTTGTTTTTTTTTTCTTTTCCTCTGTGGGGCTATCTTCCTTCTTCCTTTTGAAAGTTGTAGTAATGTCCATATCTGAGAACGAGGGCAGAGTGTTCGTTTTTTGGGCTGTTGATGCAGATGGTTTGTCTGGTTCCGACCTTGCTGCGCCTGTTTGTTTGCTAGGTGTTGATGGTATACTTGGCGGTTTGGCTGGGATGATCGGGTTTTTGACCGATGCTTGTTGGTCGCTTGGTGGTGGTGCTGGCTGAGCGGATGGCGTTGTTTTTTGTAGTGTAGAATGTGCTGGTGTTTGATTACTGGGCGTTGTTTGTAAGTTGAGAATTTGACAGCGGTTGGTCCAGTGTTCAGTTGACAAGCATGTTTGGCAGGCTTGTTTTCTGTCTTTGATGGCTATTAGAATGTTGAGTGTCTTGTTTTTGTAGTTTATTTGGATGTAGTGAGGGATGGATGATGGGTTGTCAGTGTATATTGAGAAGTTGCGGTTGGTAGTGAGGGGGATTGTGTATATCGAAGGTTCTTTGTTGCTGTAGGGTTGTAGTGCTTGTATGAGTGTGCAATCGCTTAGTGTGGGTGGGACCCATCTGAGGGTTCCGTTAATCCTGTTCTTTTCGTGTAAAGTGAAGTAGAGTGTGTAGGGACCGTGTGTTTTGTGTGTATTATGTAAGGTGGTGACGTCGAAGGCAGTTGATGTAAAGAACCAGGTATCTGCTCGTCCGTAATTGAAGAGGAAGATCTGTTGGTTGCTTATTAGTTGCCGAAGGATATGCCCTTTCAGATTGGGTTGACCATTTGAGTTGATTGTGACTTGAATGGTGGGTGAATCAGCAGGGAAGAGTTCTGGACAGACTTCTTCAGGTAGATCCAGTATGGCGGTAGTGGCTGAAAAGGGTTGGGCCCTGGATTTCATTAAACCCCCCGGACCGTAGTCCGGGTGGCTCCTCCCCGAGTCTCTCGACCCAGGGGGAACATCCAAGGGCGCAACCCCTTTGCTGGCGTAGATTAGATTTGCATATGTCGTCGAGCTAGGCTGTGACATTGTTGGATGCGTAAAGGTTATCACTTGATCGTGCCAAAAGGCAGACAGAATGAACACGGACAAATAGTCACTATGGCACTAAAACAACAGAGCTAAACATAGAGTTGTCGCAAAAAAACAGAATGAAGATTGGTTATACCGAACTTTCTCATCATTTCTACATTTCAATTCTTTAATTCTGCTAGCTGTTTGCAATTAAAATTTGAGCCTTATAATAATCTAAAATTAAGAAAACAAAGGTTAAACAATCAATTTTATAAGAAGTACAAATAATTTTGTTTTAATTTACACTGTAAACAATGTTTTGAAGCTTTTACAATTATTTATGAATTTCTTTGTACATTTAGCCATTTTTGGGAGCAAATTTATAGGTTATCCTTCTTGGTTAATTTAAATTTGTAAATGGAATTTACAGTAGGCGAATTAATTAAATACATTTCTTGATTCGGATATAATTCATCTGAAATTTAAATGAGCAAGATATACGCCTACATTTTCCATGTACAAATGTATCTATGAATATAAAGCTAAAGTGGGAAAAATGTTTCTTAGTTCGTATTTGATAGTCAAATATGTGGCTATGTGTTTAAATAAAACTGACATCTTTGATGAATAAAATAACATTGCTAGTTTGATGCTGTTTTTAGAGGTGTTCAAAAAAAAAGGGAATTCTTCGTCTTCTCTACAGCACTGTTATAACTCCATGTAGCGGACATTTAATGCAGAAAATAAACATATTGCTGAATAACTATTATATTTTATTGCAGTGGGGAGGAGTGGATTTTAAAATCCTCAAAAAAAAAGTGTGACGTTTTTTTAAGGGCGACCCATATACAAAATAAATAAAATAATACTAATAAGAAAAAACATCGCAGAATTTGGATTTCATTTAAATTAAAGAATAAATTAGTGATTCGTGGCCTTCGTTTTTGGGGACTGGCTACATTTAGTTATGTTGATATTGTGGTCCATACGTGACAACATTTATACATTCTTCATGACAGCTCATAAATAATATAAACATTTGTTTTTAAGTGACGTCACCACATGACCCATCGAAGCTTCTGGACATTCCTCCGCTCCTCCAATTTCGTCTTCAACACAAAAGTTGAAGTCTAACAGTAACGTGTGTTTTCGGAGGATTGTTTTGTTTTTCATTTCACGTTATTTTATATATTTCTATAATACTGTATTTATGACACCGTATATATAGTGCCTTATTTAGAGTACGGTTTTTATAGTACTATGTTAGGTAACACCTTTAATACGTAAAATAATACCACTACGAGTGTCGGTTTTGTGATGGGGCTGGGGTGGGGGTGGAAATGACAAGGTAAAAATTGAAACATTTCTCAAGCTTTACCCGCCCCTGATCTGCTGTGTGGTTTTCTACAAACAGTAATCATTTTAATACATTCGTTCGTCTAGTTATCCAAATTTTACACTTTATTAAAATGCGTAGGCGTTTGTTATGTTTTATGTTATTTTTTATCTTAATCCCCCCCACCCCACCCCTCAGACATGTAATTTACAGCGTCAGTTTGCCTTGTCGTGTTCGCTTTAGTATTACAGTTTTCATCATCGGCTTGCGAGGACTGGTACAGATTTACAATAGTAATATTTCTTTCTGACATGTTCTTTCGTTATTTTAGGATAGTTTTCTTATACATAATACATTGCATCTATTTACAATTATATTTTTTGTAGAAAATGCAAATGTGTAATTTAATGTTATGTTAAAATTGCGTTTATTAAAGAAAGAAAAAACGAGTTCTCCTCTAAGAATCACTAGATCTAAAGGTTAATGAAATGAAAGTGTTGAACCTTTACTGATCTACGTGTATGTTATTTCATTTAGCTAGTTGTTTTCAATTAAATTTAGTTTCTAATTAAAAATTAAGAATTTTAAAAGTATAGCAAAGAAAATTTTATACACTAATTTAAATTTAAAAAATTAGTACCTAGCTCAATCTAACAGAAGGTAATCTTCGGACCAACGGTGATAAGGACATGGAACTGGACCGCATCTCTCTGCCAGACAATGAAGATTGCCTGGTTGTGGGAGACATGAACAGCCACTCTCAGAGCTGGGGTTACACTGACTTCAAAATAAAGAACATAGAAGAATGGCAAGCAGGAAGGCTTACACGTCTAAACAACCCTGATGACAAACCAGCTTTCTAGTCTAGAGCACGGTCAACCTCATCCATCTCAGACACAGCTTGTGCTACAAACGACACCAGCTGAGAACTTTGCTATATTTTACAATTTTAAATTGTTTTGTTGAGTATTTTCAATAACTTATACCTCAACAAAAGACTGGTGTGGGGATGACACCACATTTGATAAGTTATTATGAAAACTGCTTTTTTCCACTTGAACTAAAAAGAGGATCTACATATATATATATATATATATATATATATATATATATATATATATATATATATATATATATTTCTCTTCATGGAGACCATAGAAAACACCACGCAGCTTAGCCACCACCCTAATCCTCACTTGTCAGGTGAGCTGTGGTTCACCCCGACTGTTTACAATCGTAGAGCTGTGTTAGTGACGGCTAATAGGGGCAGATAATTTAGTAGTAAAACGATTTAAAACGAAGGGGATGTAACAATTTATGATTGATCTTTTCTTTATCTGTAAACAGCTGCTTTCACTGGGAGGGAGAGGGGGGTAGGAAGGGAGGTAGGGGGTAGTGTTTAATTCACAAATTATGAATTGCTAATAACCAGAAAATAAAAGAACTAGATGGCGGCGTCAGCTCGTTAATATAATTTTTGCAAAAACTGATGCCACTTGTTTAATTGGAGGGGGGGGGGGGGGGGGTGACACCAAATGCAACTTTCACAGAACAATGTAGTGATCAGAACGAAATACACCACCCACCAAAGTGGATGGGCCTGACATCACATTGAAAAAAAATTGCAAATCAATAAATCCTCTGATGATGGAGCATGGCGGCTAACTAAAATATCAATACTAAATTTCTTATTGAACATGTCATCATGTAACAGCCTCCCAGCGTAGAGGTGTGTGTGGAGGGGGGGGGGGCAGGGTGACACTAGTAAAACAATAATTGTAAATTAGATATTGTAAGTTTGCTTCATTAATTTAAGATAAAATGCCAATTATCTGAAATTAACTTTTGTATTTTCTTCTTCTTCTTCTTCTGTCTTTATTCTAGTGTTCTAGATTTATTTCTATTTTTTCATGGTAGCCTATGTTATACTAAATGTGTGTGGATATATTACTATTTTGTTATTTTTTCTTTGCTTTTTTACTAATACCGCTCAACGTGTAGAAAAGCAAATTGCGTTTTGACTAAGAACTATTTTATAAAAAATATTTCTCAAACAAGTATACCATTACAAAAGTATAGGCCTATGGCTAGTATATATATATATATATATATTATATATATATATATATATATATATATATATATATATATATATATATATATATATATATATATATATTGTTTTTTGTTGTTGTTTTTTTCGAAGGGGGGGGGGGGGTACACCCGACCTGGCGACGAACCTGGCGACGACACTGCCTGGGACTTAGAAAACGTACTATTTTCAATTATTTTCTTCTTGAATAAATTAAAACAACAGAACTTCCTTTTTTTTTTTTTTTTGACGGAAGTTGTGTCAGCAATACTATTCGAAGGACAATTGTTAAGACTGAACTTTCCCATCAAGTCTACAAGTCAATTATTTAATTCAGCTAGCGGTTTGCTATTAAAACTTGAGCATGATAATAATTCAAAATTACAAAACAAAGGCTAAGCGATACTTTTTATAAGATGTAAAAAAATTATCTAGTTTTGATTTACACTTCAAACAATATTTTGTATTTTTAAAAATTATTTATGAATTTCTTTGTACATTTAGCCATTTTTGGGAGCAAACTTGTAGGTTATTCTTCTTGGTTAATTTAAGTTTAGAAGTGGAAATTAAGCGAATTAATTAAAAAAAAGTTATTTAAAAGAGCAAGATAAAAGCCTACATTTTCCATATACAAATGTACAGGGGCGGAACTACAGTGCCGCCAGACCCCGCAATGCGGGGGGGGGGGGGGCCCGGGACGTTTAGGGGCCCGCAGCCGACCATAATACATTTTTTTACAGTTAAAAAAAATAATCTTCTTGCATTTTTGACTTTGATGGTTGTTTTCTAAAAAGAATACTGAAGCTGAGGTTGGATTATCTTTATTCTACAGACATCATCTCAAGTCTTCTTCCTCCTACAATCAATCACACGCTGTTGTCGGCAAAATTCTTTTGAAAATAAATCCATGAAAGATACGCAAATGTTCAAACCACTTCCATGACTTATTTCCCTTTTTTAAATAGTCAAATATGTGTGCTCTTTAGTACCTTTTAATAGATTTGCACTAAACAAATTAAAAAGCAATTACTTCTCTTAATAATTATTTAAAAAAAATACATATTAAAGAATGACA